AGAGAAAGTACGCTATCAAGAGAAAGAGTATGGGAAGGGAACGTTTGCTAGAAAGAGAAAGTGTGCCATGAAGAGAAAGTGTGCCATGAAGAGAAAGTGTGCCATGAAGAGAAAGTACGCTATCAAGAGAAAGAGTATGGGAAGGGAACGTTTGCTAGAAAGAGAAAGTGTGCTAGAAAGAGAAAGTGCGCTATCAAGAAGAAGTGTGCTATCAAGGAGAAGTGTGCTATCAAGGAGAAGTGTGCTATCAAGAAGAAGTGTGCTATCAAGGAGAAGTGTGCTATCAAGAAGAAGTGTGCTATCAAGGAGAAGTGTGCTATCAAGAAGAAGTGTGCTATCAAGGAGAAGTGTGCTATCAAGGAGAAGTGTGCTATCAAGGAGAAGTGTGCCATCAAGGAGAAGTGTGCTATCAAGGAGAAGTGTGCCATCAAGGAGAAGTGTGCTATCAAGGAGAAGTGTGCCATCAAGGAGAAGTGTGCCGTCAAAAGAAAGTGTGCTATCAAGGAGAAGTGTGCTATCAAGGAGAAGTGTGCTATCAAGAGAGATTGTGCTATCAAGAAGAAGTGTGCTTTGAAAAGAAACTGATGGTGCTAACAATAGTCTAACATGTGACACGCTTTGTGAGTTCATAGCAGTATGAACCTTCAATGAGTGAATGCCAAACAGTGTAGGAACGTCGTCGCAAGCCCCGGCCCTCACTCTATGAATGGGTGTACTCCTATGAGTGAGTGAGTGAGTTGGGTTTAACGCCGCTTTTAACATTATTCCAGTTATATCGCGGCGTGTCAGCTTAATGTGGGAGGACAGCCCGAAGTGATGCAGGTCTCAGACGTTTACCACTTCGGTGAAACCCACGAGCTGGGTATGGCGGGTATGGTGCTGACAAACCTAGAAACATAATCGGGGCGAACCGGGATTCGAACCCACAATCATAGGTTTCTGGCGTGCCCAAGGGACGCAACTCTGCACAGCGAATCGCGGCGCCTAAGACGACTGGGCCACCCGTGCCCCCCTGTACTCCTATGAACCCATACAAAGTGACAGTAAATTTACAAAAGAGCGAACGAGTATGGTTTTACGCCGCTTTGAGCAATAGTCCGGCATTATCCACGGCAGAGATACCAGAAATGGGCTTCACACAATGTACCCATGTCGGGATTCGAACCCGGGTCTTCGGCGTGACGAGTGAACGCTTTAACCACTCCTCTACCCGACCGCCACTTACATTCTTTAATACACACACAACATCTTTAGACAATGTTATAACATGCATGCGGGGTTTTCAACTGAACACCGAGGAACGCCCGAAGTCATGCAGGGCATGAATATTTAATTATTTGATGGAAATCAGGAGCGAGGGCACAGTGCTCACACACTTCGGATTTGAGCAAAACTGGGATTCGAACCACGACCAGCAGCAGACACCTGACTGGGCTACGGCTCACTGCTGTGTAGAGATGCGGGCGCAAGGACATCATACAGAACCTTATGTGCCCCTGTGTTTACATTGTAACTAAAGGGCATCATTATGCATTGCATTCTGGGCGCTGTGTTGGTCTCTGCGCGGGCACTCTGTATTCAATAGGTATAGTCTTGAAATATACCGCCAAAAGAAACGCGACTCATAGAACCATATGCATATAGAGAGTGAGTGAGTGAGAATGGTTTTACGCCGCTTTTAGCAATATTCCAGCAATATCACGGCGGGGGACACCAGAAATGGGCTTCACACATTGTACCCATGTTGGGAATCGAAACCGTGTCTTCGGCGTGACGAGCGAATGCTTTAACCACTAGGCTACCCGACCTCTCTCCCCCCCCCCCCCCCCCCCCCCCCCCCCCCCCCCCCTATAGAGAACCATATAGAGAAATATGTACGTTAATAAGAGATATTTTCAATGTGTACCAATGAATGACGAAGCTAAGTGTTACTAAAGAGTATCTTTATTCTTATCACGATATGCACGTGATTTACAAACTTTACATGCTAATCCTGCACGAGACAAACGATGCACCTCGAGTCATGGATCTATGACGTCACATGCGATGCGTTCATGAGAGTCGGTTCAAACAACATACCAGTGTGATCGTCTGTGCATCAAACCAAACTAATATCTCTTGAATATGCGTCATACATTAACCGACATATATGGTATTCGCGTTTCTTTTGTCGGTGAATATATATTAATTCACTAATTCAACACGACAGCATTCGAATTCCAACAGCGTTAATTAAACGCTATAGCAACCAAGTAATATGATGAAGATATTACTAAATATTATTCACTGTTGCGTTCAATAAAAAGTTTTATATCAACACAAGCTGAAGACATCTTGTGTTATATAGTCCGAATAGTGTCACTGTCATAAAGCTGGACTAGTGATGACATTAACAACATTAATCAACAAGTAACATTTTTTTCCGTTAGTAAACATTAAATACATTATTCCCTTTAAGTCTACCAGTTGTTATGGTAACGCAATTTTCACATTTATGTCTCTGTTTTATTTTCCGTATTATTGAAAAGTGCAGTTACAGTGGAAATACGTCCTTTTATTTCCTTATTTGTGAAATGCATAACTAAACAATTATTCACAATTCCGAGAAATTGTTGTTTTTAAATATGATGGTAAAACCAACAAATGTTTACTACAGACTGTATATATATACACAAATGTTTACTTGACACACATCATCTTTGTATCTGTCGGCGGGATCAGTAGTCTGGGGTCGACTGTCGTAAGTAACTAGATATCATCATTCTGACTTGTGATAACCGGTATTGTCAAATATAATGTTTTATGTGAGTTAATATGTGGATTTCTATATTGTCTCCATGAGACGTTCAGGTACACGTGTACCTTTGTTAATGACGTAAGGGACGTTTCCGACACTTGCATGATGGCGGTACTGGCATCTGTACCGAAAACTCGCACGGACAAAATTAAAGAAATACGTTAACACAGTCTTCACTGATAATGCTATAATGTCTAACCTTTATTCCCCGGATCAACATCAAGACCGAGTGTGGTGTACGGAAGTATATAATTTCACATCAAAGTAGTACCGTTATGCTGCCGCCACATGTTTATTTGGAGATAATTTTAATGTCGACATAATATGTATCTGGACATCTTGTTTGCCTCGCAACATGTTTATAGCGAAATCTTGTTTGTGTCGATATTATATGTATCTCGACATACTATCTTCCTCGCCACATATTTATATAGAAATCATGTTCATATCGACATCATATGTATCTCGACATCTTGTTTACCTTGCCACATGTTTATATCGAGAACATGCATATGTCGACATTATACTTGATATATATATATATATATATATATTGACATTATGTTGAGCCCGACATTGTATTATATAGAAAGGATTGTATCTCGACATCATGAATACATTGGGTGCGGACATACCATTATCTCGACATCATGAATACATTGTGTGCGGACATACCATTATCTCGACATCATGAATACATTGTGTGCGGACATACCATTATCTCGACATCATGAATACATTGTGTGCGGACATACCATTATCTCGACATCATGAATACATTGTGTGCGGACATACCATTATCTCGACATCACATTAATCTCGCAATCTTGTACTGTACATTGCATATCCGCACAACAGTAACCATGACTTGCTGAGACGTTTCCTCTGTCTCCTGTTTCTTAAAACAGGAATCGCTCATCTCTCATCGAGAGAGAGTGAGAGAGAGAGGGGGGAGAGAGAGAGAGAGAGAGAGAGAGAGAGAGAGAGAGAGAGAGAGAGAGTTTATTTTGGTGTCACATGCACAAGCGGTCATGGTAAATACATTGGAGATAATGAGGGTTCAAAAATAAAAGCTTGTACATCCAGACTTACTGTAAGTCCCCATGGACCCTAGCATGGTGATCTACCTTCAGCTGGTGGCGATCTACAGCCCTTTTTTATCATGTATTTAAGTCCACGTTTTCTAAATATTTTTGTATTTAGTTTCTGTGCAGTAACCAAGGTCTGTAAGTATAACGACGTTTGTGTAAACGATCTTTGAACTGTATGTCAGTTATATCACGGCGTGTCAGTGGGGGAACGTCCCGTGTGATCCAGATCTTAGACGCTTAGCACTTTGCTTAAACCCAAGGATCATTATCGGATTGATTCGGGGATTCAAACCAATATAATCGAATCCTGGCACGACCAAAGGACGCAACTCTTCACAGCGAATTGCGGCGACTTAGACCACTGAGCCACCCGTTAACGAATAAATAATGAATATTAATTTAATTACCCAGTTAATCAAATTATTTAATTTTATGTTGCAAAAGCATTATTACTAGAGTACAAATCGAGTAACGGCATGTACCAGTGGTTACATGCGTCGAATGAGTCAAACAACTCTCCACCCACAAGACTAATCAACGCCCCCACAAACTAAGCAAAAGTCTACAAAGGTTATTAGATAATCTATAATATTTCTATTTCCTTATAGAAAACTGCTAAACCGACCTGCTCATGTTTTGTATGTTTGTTTGTTGTTAACGCCACACGCAGCAATAGTCCAGCTGTCTGACGACGGCCTCAGATCAATAACTGACCTCGTTCATCAAACGGTTTCGGGTGGGTCACGAAAAACGGCGATCATTCGTTAAGTTTTGCTGCAACGATACCAATGATATCAAAAGATTATACTATGCCCGGAACCGATTTTCATTCACCATTTAGCTACAATGATACCGACGATAGCAAAAGACACAAGTAATGACTACGCCCCCTTATAACTACGCCCGTTATTATCAACCAAACAGCCTTATATAGGCATAGTGTCAAACACAATGGATTAATTTTAGGTAGTTTATATCAAAATCGTGTCTCCACATGTCCCTCTGCCAGTACAGAGTGGCGTATCAAGACATTGCAGACAGAGCGGGTTGGGATTTACATCGCATTGGAAGAAACATCGCAGTGACTTACATCTAAAATAATTCTGTTTCAGTCTAAGCCTCTGTCAGATGTCCCTATTTGGACTGACCAGGGAGAAGGGAGAGAACGACGGGGATACTTCAGACACTGTCAACTTACACGCCACCATGGATAAAACAAACCCTGATCAACTTCTGACAGAATTAATGAAGATCGATGTTCAGATGCGGGAGACGCATTGCAGCTTAGAAACCAAAATCACGACGCAGGAAATCACCCCATCCGGGGAAAAACCGCCAGAGGCCACTCCCGAAAAGGTGGAACACGTCGCCGAAAAGATCATCATGGCGTTGAAGAACATCGAAGGGCAGTATAGGAAATACTATTACCTTTTTCCACAGCGAAGGGAACATGGTGAGTGTTAAAAGTATTATAACAGAAACGTCCATCAATGTTTGATCCTTGAGTGAGTGAGTGAGTGTGTGAGTGAGTGAGTGAAGGAGTGAGTGAGTGAGGGAGTGAGTATGGTTTCACATTGTTCGGCAGCTAGATTAGGCCAGTCGCTTCTATGGAAAGCCAGCAAAATAAGAACCCATTGATTCGAATTGGTCCAAGAGATCGCTTAACGCGGATGATATTGTAATTTTGTTTCTGGTAGTATTTGATTTACTTTGATTTTTTTCATAAAACAATGTTTATTTTGTACAACTTCCTTTGTGCAGCTTCTCGGCGTTCCTTCCGTGAGGACAGCGGCATCGGCAGTGGCATATTCAACGACGATCCTGCAGCGACGGAAGGTATGGCATGAGAATAGCCTGAAAAGTAGGGGTGTTTATACAAAACAAATAAAAACAATTTAAGTATTGTACATATCGTTAACTGTAGCATAGTTCGCCCGGTTCGCCCCAATTATGTTTCTAGGTTTGAACCCAACTCACTCTCCACTGTTTTTTTATGCAGGTTGCAGGTTGTATGGGCGGCAGTTGCTGCCAGTCAGGCTTGGTTTCCCTTTCGCGAACACCTGGTGTCCTCACTGATTTTCGGGGGCACGGGTGGCCCAGTCGTCTAAGGCGCCGCGATTCGCTGTGCAGAGTTGCGTCCCTTGGGCACGCCAGAAACCTATGATTGTGGGTTCGAATCCCGGTTCGCCCCGATTATGTTTCGAGGTTTGTCAGCACCATACCCGTGCTCGTGGGTTTCACCGCAGTGGTTAACGTCTGAGATCTGCATTACTTCGGGCTTTCCTCCCACACGCCGTGATATAACTGGAATACTGTTAAAAGCGGCGTTAAACCCAACTCACTCACTCACTCACCTCACTGATTTTCGGTGACCCTCTCATATAAGTTTCACAGCTATTTTGCCCCTTGCGCCAAACGGAATCAGTTTCGTCGGATAAACTAGTTAGCTCCACTCGATCGTATTTTCCAGGTCTAAGCTTTGAACATCAACGAACAAAAACCAAACCTTATGGCGATACAGTTGTTATCTATCTGTAATCTGTTAGACTCTCACAGACGCACGCCAGGCCAGGTGTTATCTACGTGCAATCCTAGATACATACTGCTGTATAACAGTCACAACGAGTTTCGGTTTCATTTAAGTTGCTGATGAATTTCTAATGGTAAACAATGTTTTCAGTGATTACATTCAAGGGACCAGAATATAAATATATTCATGTGTTTATGTTAAAGTAGGGAACGGAAGTTACGACTGTCGCTAACCTGCTTCAACGCGGGGAAGTTACGACTGTCCAAAATCTATGTTAAAGAAGGGAAGTCACGACTTTATCAAGTCAATGTTAAAGTAGAGACGTGATGACTGTGCCAAGTCAATGTTAAAGTAGGGAATCACGACTGTATCAAGTCGATTTTAAAGTAGGGGAGTTATGACTGTATCAAGTCAATGTTAAAGTAGAGAAGTTATGACTGAATCAAGTCTATGTTAAAGTATGGAAGTTACGACTGAATCAAGTCTATGTTAAAGTAGGGAAGTTACGACTATATCAAGTCATTGTTAAAGTAGGGAAGTTACGACTATATCAAGTCAATGTTAAAGTATAGAAGTTACGACTGTATCAAGTCAATGTTAAAGTAGAGACGTTATGACTGAATCAAGTGAATGTTAAAGTAGGGACGTTACGACTTTATCATGTCAATGTTAAAGTATGGAAGTTACGACTATATCAAGTCAATGTTAAAGTATGGAAGTTACGACTATATCAAGTCAATGTTAGAGTATGGAAGTTACGACTGTATCAAGTCAATGTTAAAGTAGAGACGTTAAGGACGGTATCAAGTCAATGTTAAAGTATCGAAGTTACGACTGTATCAAGTCTATGTAAAAGTATGGAAGTTACGACTGTATCAAGTCAATGTTAAAGTATGGAAGTTACGACTGTATCAAGTCAATGTTAAAGTATGGAAGTTACGACTGTATCAAGTCAATGTTAAAGTAGGGAAGTTACGACTGTATCAAGTCAATGTTAAAGAATGGAAGTTACGACTGTATCAAGTCAATGTTAAAGTAGGGAAGTTACGACTGTATCAAGTCAATGTTAAAGTAGGGAAGTTACGACTGTATCAAGTCGATGTTAAAGTATGGAAGTTACGACTGAATCAAGTCGATGTTAAAGTATGGAAGTTACGACTGTATCAAAGTCGATGTTAAAGTATGGAAGTTACGACTATATCAAGTCATTGGTAAAGTAGGGAAGTTACGACTATATCAAGTCAATGTTCAAGTATCGAAGTTACGACTGTATCAAGTCAATGTTAAAGAAGAGACGTGATGACTGTGCCAAGTCAATGTTAAAGTAGGGAAGTTACGACTTTATCATGTCAATGTTAAAGAAGGGAAGTTACGACTGTATCAAGTCAATGTTAAAGTAGGGAAGTTACGACTGTATCAAGTCAATGTTAAAGAAGGGAAGTTACGACTGTATCAAGTCAATGTTAAAGAAGGGAAGTCACGACTTTATCAAGTCAATGTTAAAGAAGAGACGTGATGACTGTGCCAAGTCAATGTTAAAGTAGGGAAGTTACGAATGTATCAAGTCATTGTTAAAGTAGGGGAGTTATGACTGTATCAAGTCGATGTTAAAGTATCGAAGTTACGACTGTATCAAGTCAATGTTAAAGTATGGAAGTTACGACTGAATCAAGTCGATGTTAAAGTATGGAAGTTACGACTATATCAAGTCAATGTTAAAGAAGGGAAGTCACGACTTTATCAAGTCAATGTTAAAGTAGGAAAGTTACGACTGTTTCAAGTCAATGTTAAAGTAGGGAAGTTACGACTGTATCAAGTCAATGTTAAAGTAGGGGAGTTATGACTGTATCAAGTCGATGTTAAAGTATCGAAGTTACGACTGTATCAAGTCAATGTTAAAGTATGGAAGTTACGACTGAATCAAGTCGATGTTAAAGTATGGAAGTTACGACTATATCAAGTCAATGTTAAAGTATCGAAGTTACGAATGTATCAAGTCAATGTTAAAGTAGGGAAGTTACGACTGTATCAAGTCGATGTTAAAGTATGGAAGTTACGACTGAATCAAGTCGATGTTAAAGTATGGAAGTTACGACTGTATCAAAGTCGATGTTAAAGTATGGAAGTTACGACTATATCAAGTCATTGTTAAAGTAGGGAAGTAACGACTATATCAAGTCAATGTTAAAGTAGGGAAGTTACGACTGTATCAAGTCAATGTTAAAGTAGGGGAGTTATGACTGTATCAAGTCGATGTTAAAGTATCGAAGTTACGACTGTATCAAGTCAATGTTAAAGTATGGAAGTTACGACTGAATCAAGTCGATGTTAAAGTATGGAAGTTTCGACTATATCAAGTCAATGTTAAAGTAGGGAAGTTACGACTGTATCAAGTCAATGTTAAAGTAGGGGAGTTACGACTGTATCAAGTCAATGTTAAACTAGGGTAGTCAAGACTGAATCAAGTCAATGTTAGAGTAGAGACGTTTTGACTGTATCAAGTCGATGTTAAAGTATGGAAGTTACGACTGTATCAAGTCAATGTTAAAGTAGGCGAGTTACGACTGTATCAAGTCAATGTTAAACTAGGGTAGTCAAGACTGAATCAAGTCAATGTTAGAGTAGAGACGTTTTGACTGTATCAAGTCAATGTTAAAGTAGAGAAGAGACGACTGAATCAAGTCAATGTTAAAGTAGGGAAGTTACGACTTTCGCAAGTATATGTAAAGTTTCATAGCATCGTTTAAAACAGCAACCAGGCAAATAAATATGCTATTAGACAAATTGACATAGGACTTTCTTTTACGTTCGTTTCATTAACATCAGGAATAATCAGATTGACTTACATCAGCTGCAAGTGGCTGATGTTTGAATATACATATAATTCTCACGTTTGGGGTTGAAAATAATGGGGATAAACTGTTGTCTGTTTCAGTGTGTGTACCACCCATACAGGAGTCACAGGAGACCCCAGACACAGAGGTAGGCCACACAATTGACATATCATCTGTGAACATCCGCGTTATCATCTTGGCCTTCACTGGATCGGGTGGTCAGACTTGATTGGTGAATGTCATCGTAGCCCAATTGCGTAGATCGATGCTCATGATGTCCCTCGTTTGCCTAGACGATTATTTACAAACCGCCGTCATACAGTTGCAATCCCGGCCCAGGTTAGGGTTTGGGAGATAGGATCGTCGTAGCGCTAAGATCACTTTGTGCAAGTGACCCAGGATTCTATCCCACAGGGTGCGCAGGGTAGTTAAAATAGAACAGGGTAGACGATCCGGCAGTCAATTATTGGTCCAACACTTCTTTAGAACACAATGTCTAATCTCACATTTCACTCTCCCCACAGAAGACATCAGCTGTAGAACACAGCGAGGGAAGCGACAAGGAAGTCAGTCCACAGAAGACCTCGGCTGTAGAAGGACACAGCGAGGGAAGCGACAAGGAAGTGAGTCCACAGAAGACCTCGGCTGTAGAAGGACACAGCGAGGGAAGCGACAAGGAAAGCAGCCACTTGTAACCGATTGGTGTCTTGCAGCTATATTTCATCTCTACAGACATTGTTGAGGTCTTCGGGCACTGTTCTACTCAGACATGCTTGGTATTTGTATACAGCTATGCATTGTATACGGTTGTATATCCTGCGTCACCGAGTCATACATGAATCACTATACAACTGGTACAGTAGGTAGATAGGTAGGTGTGTGTCGTGAATAGTTGGGCATACGTCCGGCCATTTCATATTCTTGGAGAACAGGGGGGGGACCAGAACACATTGGTAATAATTTTGGCTGAGGATTTACAAAAAGTAAGATTGTACACTGGATAAATTTAAACACAGTTACCTTCGGCTCCATATTCAGAGAACATGATTACCGTATTCGACGTAATAAGCGCCCGGGTCGCTCTCAAAATTAGAAATATGGGGTTCTTATAAGAAAATGATTTTGGTGAGAGAAAAAAACAGAGTTGAAAGATCGTAAATTTCGTAGTTTATGCTGACAGCCTGTAAGGATACAAAACAAAAGTATGTGCATATTATACACGACAGATATATCTTCCAGAAAGTAATTGCTCATAATTAAGGGGGCATAGAACACACGAGTGCGTATTATACACGAATAAATCAATCTTGTGAACATTGATCAATCGGAATGGGTGCTAACTGGGAGTGTTCACTAGCTAATATATTAGCAAACATTGCCGTGGGTGCTTATTAGAGCAGGGCGCTTACTACGTCGAATACGGTATGTGTCTTGAGCCGGTGAGAAAATATTATTCTGTCTCTCTCTAACAAAATTCTAAAAATATTAAATGACGGAATGACGGGTTCCATGTGAACCAGAAGCATGCTCAGCTCTTCACCAAACACACCTGCCTATCTACATAAAGATACACTCTGAGCAGTTAATGATAGAGATTAGTTACACAGGGAAACCAACCTATTTGTGCTACCTGGAACTGTGCATTACCGCATATCAAACGGGAAGTTCACTGACGTTTCCTTCGGATGGGAATCTGTGTTCAGGGCATCAGACTTTGGTTGGTGACACATGGAGCCTTCAGAAGATGCTGTAGCAGATGGATTAGTTCGCAGAACCATGCTCTGTGGATGGTACTTTGAAAAGCAGGCATGTCTTCCTGACAGACTGTCAAACTGTGTGTACTTGTTGTGTTCGTTTATCATAGTTTAAAACTCCAGTTTTAAAACCACAAAAGATAAATGCATGAAGTAAAACGTATTGAGAAGATCAAAATTTCAACGAAATCAACATTTAAAATAACAGTCATACATTAAGAGCCTGTATGACACCCTTTGCTACAAGACATACAAAAACTCTCCGGAGCACAGAAGAAAAATCAGTCGTCTGATGACATCACGTCGGATACGTCTTTGCCGGTTGGCTGGATTATGTGGTCGCTGTCGAACACGTCGATCCATGACATCCCAGAGGTGTTCTATGGGGTAATTGTCTGGAAAGCGTGCAGGCCACGGCAACACGTTGACGTTGTTGGCTACAAGGAAGTTCTGTACGATTTGGTCTGTAGGGGGTTTGGCGTTGTCATGGTCATAAAGGACACCTCGTGGCAGCTGTTGTAGAACTGGTAAGACAATCAGACGAAGAATGTCATCAATGTAACGCTGCCCACAAATTCCCACTGTCAGGAATCGATCCTGGAGATGCAAAGTACGCAAGTACTGGTATTCATTGGGCGTAGTTACCCTTGGTATTCCTGTTCGTGGTCTGATGTCTCCCAGTTCTGCCTGTAGAGTTAGTGGGCATGGGTGGCTCCCATCTGTATCATACCCAGGGCCTGCTCGCGTTTGGGTGTCAGTCATGGAATTTCGGGGGGGGGGGGGGGGGGGGGGGTCAATAAGAGTGCCTTACATGCATTCCGTATCATTTATATACCCTAATTGCACGTACGTGTAGTTTCGGCTTCCCCAAGCGACACGTGTTTTTTCACTTTTTCGCATTTTCTGTAAAAAAACAAACCGTTACAGCATACAGCATTATTATGTTTAGACGATGTGTTTTGCATTGATTAAGTTTGAACTTAATTTTTTGCAATTTCATATTGTGGTAAAGTTTCTTTTGGCCGTCAGTTCATATAGCGAACGAAGTGGGGGCAAGGGTGGCCCAGTCAAATACCTTGTTTACTTGCTCATATTTGCTTAAATCACTGATAATTTGATAATATTTTAGCAATAATTTGTTTTTTTGCTTCCTATTACAGTAAGACACACACAAACACACACACACACACACACACACACACACACACACACACACACACACATATATATATATATATATATAATTCAAAAGTCCAAAGATGAGCTGTATAATTATTAAATTATATATATTATATTAATAATTATATATTTAAATATATATATATGTTAGGATGTGTAGAATTTGCTTAGCTTTTGATCGGCCTGTAAATGCTAAATCGTGTGTGAATTCAGTTGCATACTAGATACACATTGGATGGAATTGCGGTATGAAACATGTATTTAGTAAAATATTACTTCCTTGCCCTGAGATTGGCATGTCCTGATTTGGACATGTTGAAATAGCATATGCATATTATCCGTTTGATAAACTGTCGGATCCAAGGGACACTCAAAAGAACCGGGTTCAAGATAGCGAGATCAGTATGTGCGTTGTATATTCTGTACATGTGCGTTTTGATTAGTTAATTTAATAATGTTTTTATTGTTTTCTAAATAGCATGCAATAAGATACCTTATATAAAAAGCATAATTGCTTCGCAATATTTGATGAGATTTACATGAAATCGGGAAAGTCCACAATATTTCATATTTGAAAAAAATATATATCCAAGTTTTGAAAGTTCGAGTACAATTATAATTTTGGAATGTTGTCACATGTGCATTAGTGATACTTCTAAAAGATTTTGCTTTTTAGATTTACTTCTAAAAACACATTTACTTCCAAAAATGACAGTTGGTTATATTGTAGACAACTAACTCCAAACTTGGAATTTGTATCTGTCATGTCATCACACGCGGCTGACAACGTTATTAATTCAATCAAAATATTTAATAGATAATAAAACCGTGTCTGTTTTTATTGTGTGTACAGTGTACAGATTCATTATCATACATGTTAATGTCATGAAACATTTTTTTCAGTACTTTTTCTTCCAGCATTTCAGAGGGCTATTTCTTTAAGAAAGAACATGTTATCAAGTGTTGCGAATGTACAGCCATTTCACAACTGTTTTTGAATACTTTAAAATTTGTATTAAAGTATAAAATATCTTAAATTTCTTTTTTATATTTTTTTCTGTCCAAAGCATTTAAAATAAGATAAATAAATATGAACAATGTTGTATTAAAACATTAAACTTTTGTAGCGTATATAACTAAATTTAAGCGATGTGTTTAAATCTGAAAAAAAAATTGTATTTTATTTGATATTAATTTTATATATCGTTTTATCATTCTTTATTTTAGTTTTTTTCTTCCTAAACAAATATGGGTTGGGTTTTCCAGCCACACTCATGTAAGCGTCTTCTGTACAAACCAGAAATGACCCACACAATACATACATAACACAATATTGCCGTAAGAGGCAACTAACGGGATCGGGGGTCAGGCACGCTGACTTGGTAGATGCGTAATATCGTATCCCAATTGTGTGGGTCGATGCTCATGATATCAGTCACTGGATGGTCTGGTCCGGACTCGATTATTTACAGACCGCCATCATATAGCTGGAATATTGCTGAGTGCGGCGTAAAACAAACAAAATAACAACAGTAGATATAACGGGATCGCTCACAATGCCTTATTACGTTATACCCGGGGTTTGAAACTGAAAGTGAAAGTATATAGAGGCCACTGTATCTATTGTGAATTCCCCTTTGTACCATTAGCTTTAAGGATGTCCGCCCCTCTGCATGAAGAGCACTTTGATAATCCAGGAGAAGTTGAACCAACTCACAAAACGGGCGGTCGGGTAGCCAAGTGGTTAAAGCGTTCGCTCGTCACACCGAAGACCCGGGTTCGATTCCCGACATGGGTACAATATGTGAACCCATGTCTGGTGTCCCCCGCGATGATATTGCTGGAATATTGCTAAAAGCGGCATAAAACCATATTTACTCACTTAATCACTCACTCACAAAACGTATTTGACACAAGTAGGTAGACTTACACTTTGAAATAATTATATTTTTTCTTCTTCGAAAGAACCTTTCCTCTTCTGCTATTTTGGAATCAAGCAAACTAGACTTGGTTCGTTTGATCTCGACTCGCCTTGGCTTTTAGTACAAGGAAATATCTAAAAAATATAAATTCCACAGTCATGGCGAAGGGCTAACGAGTAGGCGGTGCACAGAAGTTGGGCAAACACATTTGGAGAGACCCGTGAAGATCTGGGGTAGAATAGGTCTTCAGCAGTCCATGATTGCCGTAAAAGGCGACTATCCTTGTCGTAAAAGTCGACTAACGGGATCGGGTGGTCAGGTTCGCTGACTTGGTTGATGCATGCCATCGATCCCAATTGCGTGTGGATCGATGCTCATGATATTAATCACTGGATTGTCGGGTCCAGACTCAATTATTTACAAACCGACGTCATATAGCTGAAATATTGCTGAGTGCGGCGTTAAACAACAAACCAAACCAAGTGGTAGAGAGGGTGTAGGCATTTTGTGCACGTGCATTTTGACCACGCTCCCGATAAGAGGTCGGTGTGACAAGTCGATACACGTACACATCCATCGTACTACTTGTCGCTGACCACCCGCTACCCCCTTCTCCACAATGGTACGTGCCAGTAGGCGGACCTCATACATAGTCATAGGGGTTAATTGTCAGGTCACTACTCAACTTATCCTGGCTTTCCAGTAAGTTTTTCTTTTCATATATATTCACAGTCTTACGATTAATGATTTAATTTAAATCCCCAAACGAAAAAGGGGTCAATTAGGATCCTATTGCTAGGCGCACTTGTTACTTATAGCGACAGATTCACACTTTTTTTCAGAGGAATAGGGAAATCTCTTACCTTATTTACGGTTTCGCATAAAAGTATTATATTCAACTTTATTTAGATATACATACACACACGCATGCGCATGGACGAATCCTGGACTTCACATCGAGGCCTCACATTTTTAGAGAAACAGTCATACAACTGGTAGATGCCATTCAAGTATCTAGGAATTTTATTTAAATATCGTTCATATTACACTATTTAACTAGACACATAACCCCAAAACCTTCTCGGAAATCGGAAACACTCTTCCGTCTTACTGAAGTACATTTGTTCACAGCGGAATCCCGTTAATCCCTACGGCAGGGTTCCCAGGTTGAACGATTTATGGGGTGTGGTATTGATGTATGGTGTGGTGTAGAGCGGAGGTGTGCGTGCGTGCGTGCGTGCGTGCGTGCGTGCGTGCGTGCGTCTGGATTATAGTAGTTTCGAGGTTTTGGAAATAACATAATGGTCTCAGATTTGTACAAAATCACCAACAGATAAATATCGGTGTTTGGGCATTTCAAGTATCTGGTGACGGACGTGGGTAATCTTGACTTTGCCAAATCATTTTGACATCCCACTCTAAAAAGCGACATGACACAATCGCCTTCACGCGTCTTGATGTTGGTTTACGTCACAGAACTCACGAGGACGGTTACAATTTTCCAGTTACTTGTCATCATTATAAAGAAGCAAGTGCTCTGTACACGTATGGTGGCCTTAGAGCATTAGCTCATAACAATAACGTCAAAACAAAACACACGAATTTGTAAGTTTTTGTTTTGATGTTGTTTGCCGCCGCACACCACTGTTTAGCAGTTAAATGACGACGACTTGTAAAAGATCGAATCTCGACCAGACAATCAAGTGATAGATGTAATGAGCAACGCCTTCGGGCTACAATGACACACCAGCAAGTCTGACCACTCTGTCCATTTAGTTTTTCGACCTGAATCTCCCCGGTCACATTTGCAGTGAGTGAGTTTAGTTTATCGCCGCTTTTAGCAATATTCCAGCAATATCAAGTGAGTGAGTGAGTTTGGTTTTATGCCGCTTTTAGCAATATGCTAGCATTATCAAGTGAGTGAGCGAGTGAGTATGGTTTTACGCCACCTTTAGCAATATTCCAGCAATATTACAGCAGGGGACACCAGAAATGGGCTTCACACATTGTACCCATGTCGGGAATCGAACCTGGGTCTACCGCGTGACGAGCGAACGCTTTAACCACAAGGCTACCGGACCGCCCCGGGACATTTGTAAACAAGGCTGGATCTAAATTGCTAGTATTCATATAGCCCATCCTGGTATGTGTGTCCGACGTGCTTGGTTTTAATAAACGAACTGATAGTGGCCCAGTCGTCTTAGGCGCTGCAAATTGTTGTGTAGAGTTGCGTCCCTTGGGCAGGTTATGATCGTGGGTTCGAATCCCGGTTCGCCCTGATTATGTCTCTAGGTTTGTCAGCACCCTACCCGTGCTCGTGGGTTTCACCAAAGTGATGAACGTCTGAACTGCATCACTTCTGAACTTCCGTGATGTAATTGGAATGTTATTTAAAGCGGCGTGAAATTAAACTCACTATCTTATTCAACTATGGTGCCGACAGATCAAGGATAAAACTGGGCAATTTGGGGAATCGAACGGACCGCTTGAGGACGCATAAGGAAGAAGAAGAAGAAGAAGAGGAGGAGGAGGAATAATAATAATATTTTATTTACATAAGGGAGGCAACTCTGCTGAACGAATTGTGACTCCTTTGATTCGGCCACCTGTATTGCCGCATGGCACGCAGTACAGCTGCACTTGTATCTTATAGCCACACAGGGGCATTAT